AAAAATGTATCAGCCGAATGTTTAATAAAGATGGATGTGTCATTTCTAAAGTTGCAAAGCTTAATCAATATGGACACCGGGTAATTAGTTGTTTAGTTCTAGAAATCTGCTAGTAGTGGAAAGATTATTCAACTATGAGACTAAAAATCTAAGGACATAAGACGAAATTTTTTTATCCCAAGATTTTTGAAACTAGTCTAAATAAATAAAATAAAATAACAGTCTCGAATATTACTTACACAAATAAATGTAAAACAAAAGACACAAAAGTGGAGCCGAGAGTAAGAAAAAAGTTTGTATCAAGATTAGGTAGTTGTGATTCACCACCTCATGGATGAATCTTCAAAAAATGGGATGGTTTCAAGATAATAGCCACGTCCACCTTACCAAAGGCTCTTCCAAAAACTCTGCCACCTAAAGAACACGATCTAGTTAAATCTCCCGAGCTCTTGATCAAACAAATTCTCCATACAGTCCATTGTATGACTACTTGGGAGCACTATGGTTACAAAAGAAAGTTGTAAAACATTAGAAATCAAGTTAGAATTTTCACGTCTTGTCCCGCTTGATTTTATTCTTCTTCTTTAGAGGTTGAGTAAGGGTTTGGGTCATCTTATATTGACTTTTTTTTCGCCCTACTCTAAGGGAAGCACCTCTTCACTAATGAGGAGTAAAGAAGGCTTGTTCATATTTGGCAAGGGACCTTGAATTTGATTTTTTAATTCGTCGACTAATTGTCCCATCTTAGTGTTCAAGGCATTAAAATAGAATGTAAAATTTTCCAAAGTGTTATAAAACTTTCCATAAGCATGGGGAAATAGTTTCAAAAGAGTAAGATCGTTTGGGTGTTCAAAAATTCTCGAGTAGGTGAATGGGATTAAAGGACGATAAAGCATAGCGAGGATTAGTCCTTTGAAATCACATGAATAATCAACATGGTCCTCCTGTGATTGGTCAAGTGTATTCAAATATGTGGGAAAAAATTAGGATGTTGTTCCCACGGATAATCCAAAGTATTGTAACAAGGGGAATCTCAACTAAAACTTTCCATTATAGAGAAAGAAAAACCAATGAAAAACTCAATTTATAACTCAAGAAAGTCTAAAAATACATTAATCCCAGCAATGTCGCCAAAAACTTGATAGCAAATGTAGATACCCACAAAAACTGTGGATAGGAGTCAGTGGGTTTGCGATGTTGTGATTGTTTGGGGGGTGCATCCTTAGATAGTTATTCTGTTTAGGATGGATTAATATAAGCCATCTGGTTGACTTGAACTCTAGGTTGTGTGGCGTTTTCGAGCTGACTTAAGAGTATCCTTTGGTTCAAATGTATTGCAGGAAAGGAAAGGTATTTTGTCAAACTCAGGAAGACTTTGTGTGGCAAGGTTTGTTATTGCGGATAATAATCAAGTTTCATTGGGAACTGACGGAATCTGCTAAGGCGATGTGTTCGACTATTTGATCGTACTAGATTTCAAAGACGAAATCCCTTTTGAGGTTGGAAGATCTATAACACCCATGATTTTTGGGATTGTAGTGTGTGGTTAATCACACTATCGAATTATATTAAAAATGATAATTATGAGGGTTTTATATAATTACCATGAAGAACGAAGAAATCCATGCGACTTTCTAAGAATCTGGGTGACTTCCCATGCGAATTTTGCAAAATGTCGCATTAAGGCTTGTTAACTCTAAAGATGTCCAATTTGGGGTTTTCTTCCTCATTTCTTTACCCCAACACTTCTCCTTCACCATTTTCTCTCTACTTGAAGTATTTTGAAGATCCAAGTCCCATTTTTGGGTCTTGGGAAGCATATCTTGGTGATTTCAAGTATGTTTATTGAAGGTAATTTTCTATCATCTTATCCTTAAAAGTTAGGGTTTTGGTTATTCTTGTACCTCTAACTCTTTTCTTCATTGTGATGACTTTATTAGTGCTTGGGATTCCATTTTTGTTGCTCTTCAAGTGGAGTTCGAGTATCAGGAAGCTCCACATAAGGTTTTAGCTTGGATCTTCCAAATCTTGAAGAGTTTTCTTGGTGGTTTGAGGAGTTTCTTGGTGAGATCTTGCTTTGGGAAGCTAGAGCATGGGTTTGAAATCTAGGTGGATACAAGTCAAAGTTTTTATTTTATTTTTCTTTATCAAAAGTTCTTTTGAAGCATATGTAATGGTGTAACTAGGTAACCTAACATACCATGGTAGAGTATGTTCAAATAAGAACGCTAACTACTTAAGAAAATAATAAAAATATCGTTAATGTACAAAATCACATATGATTTTACATTAACATCAATAAAATGGAAGCAGATGACTTTTGAACTTGTTTGATTTTGTAAATGAATATGTGTGTGTGTGAGAGAGAATCATCTATAATTTTGTATATTAACGACATTTTTTTATTTTTTAAATAATTATCGTTCTTATTTGAACTTGCTCCTACTCTGATAAAACATTTGCATAAACAATTCGTATATCAAATAGTATGTATTCAAACTTCCAATTTTGTTGATTCTTATTATATATATATAAAAAAAAAAGAAGTTTATCTCATTATAAATTTCTTTATAAATTGATTTCAGTAAATTAAAAATGGGGTGTTACAAATTTTGAAAAAAAAAAGTAATCATAATTTTTTGCATATCTTGTTATAGATTTTAAAGCATTTTCAAATTCAGACTAAACAAGAATAAGACAACAATTATAGAAGGAATACATGATGTTTTTATTTATTTTATATACAAATATTATATATATAACCAAACATTTGAAAAATATATTTCAAATGTGATTTATTCATTACATTTATTTGTCATGCATTAAAACTTGTATTTATTTTGGCACGAATCTTCGACTTCAATAAGGTTTCTCCCCAACATAGTTGCCTGGGGGATCATAGTTGCATGTCACGAACCATGCTCCATTATTGCATTTTACCCTAGCACAACCAAGGCGAACCGATTTGCGCCAAACAACCTGSGTATAATGCCCACACACCTTCCCCGGAGCGCAAGTGTTTGAATTGTAATTGTAGTTGGCCTTCTCTCCGACCCACAAGTTCACCGCACCCACACCTGTGAGCTCAAACCCTGACCCACCGGCAAGATTCTCACCATAGGGTCTGTTTTGTGAGTGCCTCATTTGACAATCACCTCGTCTTTGATTTGCATAGTTTTGCGCAAAGCTAGCCACACGACTATCCCACGTCATGGGCCCCACACCAACCTGTGCCCGAGCTCGATTATGAGCATTAACATAGTCTTGTGGCGAGTTTTGGGCTCGGGAAAAATGTAGAATTGCCATGGACATAACAAAAATAAGAAGTGAGATGTTATTCGAGTAGCCCATTTTGTATAAGCTTGTTTGATTCAAATGGGTGATATGAATGAGTAGTATTTATAGGAGAGATTTATGTTGATTAGAAGTTTAGATTATGACAATTGCATTGGATACACAAAATGTTAGATTTTTTTAAGCTCACTTTATATTTAGTCTTCTAATAGCATCATGATAGTACACTTGAAAAAATCAAGTAGTAGTACTCTGCCTAACTCTTTTTCCACAATTTATATGTATACAAGATGACAAATACATCCAATAAATCGTTTTATGAGACCTCTTTCGCAATTTTCCACATCATAGAAAAATCAACGAATATCAATGTGTGCTATGACCATCGACTTATCCGGAGTACATCGATTAATAGAGTGCAAAAGCTAAACTTCTTTAAGTATGGTTTCTCGAATTAGTTAAAAAGAACTTGAATAAATGCAATTATTTTCTTGTCTAAAACAACGGTTATATTAAATCGTTGCACTTTGATATATACCATTCATTTGTACATTTCTTTTTAGGATTTAATATGATCATATGGTAAATCTTTATTTCTTTTCAAAGTTATCATCAAACTCAAGCATAACTATTTGCAATAAAATTGTGAGTTTGGTTGCCACGTTCACTCTTGAAAGAAGAGGAAATTACGAGTCAAATGGTATGTTTGATGTAACTAGTTCACACCCATAATACATCTTTAGATTCATAATAAATTTTTAACAAAAAATCAAATATAATTAATAACGCTATTAAATATAACGCTTTTATCGATATATATTTTGACAGATTTTTTTATCAGAAATTTACCGTCGGATATCTAGTAGAAAGGCAAAAATCAACTTTTCATCCACTTCTCTCACAAATTTGCCACCGATTTTTCAAATGTAAAAATAAAAAATAAATTTCGATTAATTTTTGTGACGGATTTATGACGGATGTTTTATTTATTAATTTATAAAAACAAAATAAAAAATTTATGTTATTTAAAATAATATTAATTAATTAATATTTGTGACAGGTTTTAATTATTTAAATTCTCACTTATCCATCTATCAATATTAATTAATTAAAAAAACTACTTTTAATATTTTAAAAAAATTCAAGAAAAGGGATTTTTAACCCAAAGATTGATGTTTTAAGCATACAACATAGGTATTTATACTAGTTAGAAGGATTGGGCTCAAACGTAATCTTCAATGAAGAGGTTTTTTTACAAGGCGTGGGCACGTCTTATGATGGGAGAACTTTCTACTTCTATTTTTGTTATCGTTGATTGTGATATAATGAATTGATAAAACTTGATAAGTGAAATTATACTTCTAAAAAAATGAAATTGTAGGTGTTGTGGAAAAGCACCAAGGTCTTGAGGATGACATCATAAGATGATGTGGAATATTTGAGATGGAAACTTATAAAGGTGTTGTGCAATGACCCTTTAGGTGTTGAGGAATAATACCATTTATGTTGAATTTAAATTTGTACCCTTATGTTATACCAAAGGGACTTTGACTAAGCGGTATCTGAGTCTCTTGCCTCCTATGAGTTTATTTGTTGCATTTATCGTATATAAAATATATTATATACTTAAAAAAAAAAAAACAATTATAGAAGGAATACACGATATTTTTATTATATATATATATATATATATATATATATATTTAACAAAGCATTTGAAAAGTATATTTCAGATGCGATTTATTCATTACATTCATTCATCATGCATTAAAACTTATATGTATTTTGGCACGAATCTTCAACTTCAATAAGGTTTCTCCCCAACATAGTTGCCTGGGGGATCATAGTTGCATGTCACGAACCATGCTCCATTATTGCATTTTACCCTAGCACAACCAAGGCGAACCGATTTGCGCCAAACAACCTGGGTATAATGCCCACACACCTTCCCCGGAGCGCAAGTGTTTGAATTGTAATCGTAGTCGGCCTTCTCTCCAACCCACAAGTTCACCGCACCCACACCCGTGAGCTCAAACCCTGACCCACCGGCAAGATTCTCACCATAGGGTCTGTTTTGCGAGTGTATCAGTTGACAATCACCTTGTCTTTGATTCGCATAGTTTTGTGCAAAGCTAGCCACACGACTATCCCACGTCATGGGCCCCACACCAACCTGTGCCCGAGCTCGATTATGAGCATCAACATAGTCTTGTGGCGAGTTTTGGGCTTGGGAAAAATGTAGAATTGCGGTGGACATAACAAATATAAGAAGTGAGATGTTATTGGAGTAGCCCATTTTGTATAAGCTTGTTTGATTCAAATGGGTGATATGAATGAGTATTTATAGGAGAGAATTATGTTGATTAGAAGTCTAGATTATGACATTTGCATTGGATACACAAAATGTTATATTTTTCTAAGGTCGACTTTATATTTAGTCTTCTAATAACAACATGATAGTACACTTGAATATATCAAGTAGTAGTACTCTTGCCTAATTTTTCCCCATTATTAACTTCATGTGTATACAAGATGACAATACATCCAATAAATCGTTTGATTAGAACTCTTTTGCAATTTTGTATACATCGTAGAAAAATCAACGAAGACCAATGTGTGTTGTGACCCGTGGCTTATCTTGAGTGCATCAATTAACAGAGTGCAAAAGTTAAACTTCTTTGAGTATGGTTTCTCGAATCAGTTAAAAAACATGAATAACTGCATTTTTTTTTCTTGTCTAAAACAACGGTTATGTTAAATCATTGCACGTTGATGTACCATTCATTCATACGATTTTTTAGGATTTAATATGATTATATGGTATGTTTGATGTGACTAGTTCATAGCCATAATATATTGTTAGATTCACAATAATTTTTTTAACAAAAACTCAAATATGATAACACTATTAAACAGATTATTTTCAGCGAAATACATTTTTGACGGACTATTCTATCAAAAGTTCACCGTCGAATATCCAGTAGAAAGGCAAAATTCAACTTTTTATTGGCTTCGGTCATAAATTTGTCAATGATTTTTTGAAGAAAATAAAATAAATTTCAATTAATTGTTGTGACGGATTTATGACGGATTTTTTATTTATTAATTTATAAAAACAATCCATTGTTAGTCCGTGGATAATTTGTATTATTTTACAAAAAGAAAATAATTTATATTAATTTAACTAATATTAATGGCGGATTTGTGACAGATTTTAATTATTTAAGATCCCTCCCTTACCGGTCTATTAATATTAATTAGAAGGGTACTCGTGCAATGCAGCGAGATATATAAATCTCGATTTTAATGTTTAGTTTTTATTTTTGAGTAAAATATAAATTTAAAGATATCATAAAAATTTGAAAAAAAAATATCAATCTTAATATCAAATCAACAATTAAAAGTTTTTATTTTTATGTAATTTCTTTAATTTATTTTTTAATTATAATTTAATTTAAGTTTAATAATNAATGAAATAATTTATTTTTGGTTTAATAATATAACATTTTATAAAGATAATAATTAAGTATTCTGTTAGAACTCAATGATTATCCTAATTATGTTTTAGATTTTTTATATTTAAAATGAGATGTTTATCTTGTATTTGATTATGTTTATCTGCAGTTAGTTACACGAATTCAGATATGGAGCTTTAATAAGTTGTACTTATGCACAATATATCTGTAATCTTGAGTTTTAAGTAACATGCACTAATAAGCAGTACCGTAGGCATAAAAAGTGATTTTTAAGAGTTTTTGTCAAATGCTTTATAATATAGTACAGATTAATTAAAAAATGTTTTTTGATATTAAAAAAGTAAGGAGAATTGTGGTGAATTTCACTACAACAAAATCGAGTTTGTAGGACACTCCTAATTTTTAAGCGTCCTAATAGACCTCTTTATAGGACTTAATTTATAGGACCAAAAAAATGAAGTGTCTTATCTAAAGGTGTTGTAATAAGTTTATATGACGTTTTTTGACGTCGTAATAAGTTTTTTAAGACACTTTTAATATAAAGCGTCACATTACCAACTTTATAGGACACTATTTGAAAAATTGTCCTATAAAAACAAATGTCCTATAAAAAATGAGTTTATAGGACACTTTCTCAAAAGTGTCCTATAAAGTTGCTAATGCGACACTTTGTATTAAAAATGTTCTAAAACACTTGTTAATTAAGACGCCCAAAAGCGTCATATAAACTTATTACAACACCTTTATGATATGACGCTTTATATTTTGGTCCTCTAATTATGTCTTATAAAAAGGTCTATTTGAGACGCTTAGATATTGGAGGTGTTCTATAAACTTAATTTTGTTGTATTGTTTGTTGTAGATTAGAAGATTCACCGCTAATCCGTCGATAATTTAAGTTTTTGTTTTTAATTTTTAAAAAGTTTTAAGAAAAAAAAACTTATATATAGTTATGGGAGTGAGGTGAAAGTTTGTTATTTTGGATATTTTTCTTGGTGCAATTAATGATTGATGGAAATGAGGGAGTTCATTGTCGATTTCGACTTTGTTTAATTAAATGCAAGTTATTTGAAAGTGATTAAATCCTTCACTTTGTTTCTAGGGTTTGATTTTTTTTTCCTTCTAGCAACGCTTCTATTATTGTTTATTGATTATTTTCCGTTAAATTAATTGACTATATATATTAACACGTAAAATTGATAGCGAACTAACCACAAGGATGGTGCCTGATTGGTTTGAACTGGGTTTCAAATGTTCAAAAGTACCAGGAGGTCCAAGGTTCAAATTCAAGGAGGAATTCAATAAAAACTCTTTTATGGGCACGGAGGTTCATATGTGGTGACTCCGGGCTATCTGCAAAGCATGTGTTCACCCTGCGATTAGTCGGCTCGAATAGCAGGTTCGATATCCAGGTTAATCAAAAAGAAAAATTGATAGCGAATTAAGTTGAGCATTAAATGTACTTATAATTGGTAGTTGTCAATTTTAATACTCAATCTAATAATTTAATTATGTTTATTTGTATAAATAAATATGGCCACAAAACCTTGTAATGATGTTCATTGGTAATGGTACGAGGATGTTTGATTGTTGGGAATGACGTTTTTATCGGTGTGTTTATCAGTTTTGTCACCATGATGACGAATAGAACGACAGACTAAGGAGGGAGGATCAAAAGAAGAAAGAACGTTGGTCGGTGGTGGTGTGTAGTGCGGCAGATCTGGAGGGAATTAGGTTCCGATGCTCTTATACCATAAAAGTGTTTCACCGTGAACGCATAAGTCTTGTTCCCTCCAAACATATATACACAAGTGTATCATATAGACCCCTGATTACATGGCCTAGTTATAGGGATCGTTCTCTACATTTAAGGTGTTAAACTAGATAACGATATATACGTTTCTTTCTACCCGATATTTTCATGTCTGTGACAAATATGTCGTTAATAGTATATAAATAAATATGTGCACGGAACCTTGTAGTTATGTTCATTTACAATAATCGCGACCAAAATTACACAAAATAATGGAATAGTACCCTTACTCTTTAATTAAATTGTCAATTTTTTTACTTTAGGAAAAGCTCAATTTGATAAAGTTTTAGGTCACCGTTTTGTGTCATTTGGTATCCTCGATTTCTCTTGACATGTCAAGACTTTTACCTACGGATTTTTCCGTGGGAAACCCGTTGCTAAAAAGGTAATTCGTCACAAAAGTTGGTGGGTTATTCAAATTAGTGGCAGATTACTCAGGTATATTTTCTTGGTAATCCATTAGTATTTTCTTAAAACACATCAGATTTTACCGAAAGCATTGCGAATTTCTCGGTGATCCGTCAGTAATCACCGGTAGCAATTTCTCTGAATGATTTTTATGGGTAAAAGTCATTTGTTTTATAATATTTCTCTCATAATATCAAATTTGCATCCAAACACATTTTCTGATTTTTTGGTATCAATTTTCATGATTTTGGTATCATCAATTCCTCGTGACAACACATTTTCTGAATTTTTTATTGATTTAAAACTAGTTGTGTACTCGCGTAATACGGCGGGAGCCATGAATTTTAACGATTTTGAAGTTCCACTGGTTTTATAAGATAAGATTTAACGATGATATAGATTACACTTGGTCTTTACATATTAATACAATTTGAATAAATAAGAGTTATGGTTCCAATTACAGACTATCGATGAAAAAAAATTGTATAACAGTTTAAAATCCAATATATTTAAAATCCAACATATTTAAACGACTTCACAAATGTATTCGATTTACACCAAGAGCAAATAACCAAAAAACTTGAGTTTTAAGATAAACACTCAAAACCAATAAAGAAAACTACAAATTTGAGAGATCATAAGCCATAAAAAGACAAAAAAATATGGGTTTTAGAATAAAATTTCAACTGTTTACCCTCTTTCTTGTCCAGAAACTCATATTAAGGTTGAATTAATACATGTATATATATATATTTCAAAAAAACCCAAGAACATATTAATTTAAAACATATTATACAGTGCAATGTGGACAGCATAACCTCAAAATATATAATATATATAAATAAATAACTATAAAAGTATAAATCGTAAATATTAAAAATATTTTTTCACAGTATATATAATATATAATAGTATAATTAAGTCAAAAACTATTCAATATTGGACTCATTTCGAAAGTATTAACGAGACGATTATAATGATGTAACTTGTTAAATAAAAATATATTTTTTAAATATGTTTTAATTAATATACGATTATGTATGTTAATTTGATAAAGGTTTAAAATGAAACATTTAAAAGTAAATGACGTAAAATTAATTAATTAATTAATTATAATTTTAAAAAAATTTGGTTGTAAGAGGGTGAGTGTATGTGTAGGAGTGAGTGTATGTGAGGAGAGAAGGGGGCGAAAAATGAGTATAAAGGGTATTTTGATCATTTAGTATTTTAAGACTTTAAGACTTTTGCTAAATTTACTTAATAAGATAGTATAGATAAAATTCAAAGTTGTAACTTAATTTGCAATTATATGAAAATTCAATCAGCTTTCACAATCGAAACGAAATGTCTACTTTGACTGCCTTCGAAACTTCCATCTTCATCATTTTCTACAATAGCTGACAAAAAGCCTACGATTTGCATATGCAATTAAAGTTAGAAATAGAAACTACGTTAGAAAAAGGGGTCGTTTACCCAATATGCGTTTACCGATAGGAGTCAACAGTATAATTTATTTTGATGCATAAGATTTTAGTTTATCAAAACATATAGAATACAACAATTTACTGGGTAAGAGTCGTCAACCTCACTTACCTGGTAAGACTCTTCAT